TACCAGAACCAAACGCCTGGCAGACAAGACACACATTAAGGCTGAACTATGCACCCTGACTAAAGTACTGACAGCCAACGGCTTCCACAAAAGCAAAATCACCAGCTTGATCCACAAAAACACACTGAAACATAATAGAGACCCAGAAGATGAACAGACCTATGGAACAGCTGTCCTGCCCTACATAAGAGGTACTACAGACAAAATTAGTAAGGTACTACACAGACATCACATCAGGACTGCCTTCAAAACAGACAGAAAAATAGCAGCCATCCTTAGCAACCCCAAAGATAAAATTGACCTGGAAAACCAAGGCATATACGAAGTCCCCTGTGCATCATGCCCAGCCACATACATTGGACAGACCAATAGAAGAATAAGTACCCGCCTGGATGAACACAAAAATGCAGTCAAAAAGCTGGAACACACTTCCTCACTAGTCCAACACATGGAAGCTACAGGTCATAGCATCAACTTCAATGGCACCAAAACCCTGGCCACTATGGAAAACCCTAGCCACAGAGTCATCAGAGAAGCCATAGAGATTGAAAAAAGACCAGAAAGCATGAACAGAAGAGATGATTCCACCAGGCTGTCAATCATTTGGAAGCCTGCACTCACAAACAAAAAAATCTCCACACCACAAGCCAGGCAAACACCTGGGCACAAACAGATCCCCCCTGATACCTCCAGCTCAAACACACCCCAACCAGGCACCCAGATGAAACCCAGCTTCCTAACTAATGATAGCCGTCCATTTACCCGAAGCCAAGCTGCACTAAAGGCCTCCATTAAAGTAACACAATGCTGCCAGCCAATCAAGATACAAAAAGAGCCAAAAAACAGACAGAAGATATCAGAGACACCCATCAAGCAGAACACAGCAAACTCCGAGACCAATAAACACAGACCAAGACTCCCAACCAATCAGGATGAAGAAAAAACCATTCTGGCACAGCAATAGGCTGCCCCAAATTTAAATCTGAAACCACTGTAAAAGTCTGACCCACAGACGGACACAATACAGAAGCCTGATGATGGCAGATGAGATTCTGCTGAAACGTTGCTACAACTTTAAAAGAACTACAATGACGTGGGAAAATACCCGAACCAAGCCGAACACCATACATGTAAGTACCCGCGAAAACTTAAGAAAACATATATATATATCCATTCTAATTCATATGAAACTAATTCCCAACAAGGAGGAATCTATTTAGCATCCTCTTTTGCCAGCTGTTGCCATTAAAGGAAGAACCATATATTTGCTGGCTTTGATGTCTGTATATGTGTGGTGCTTTTCTTTTTTCTTTTTATTTGCAAGCCCTGAAACACTGCTGCTGTTCAATTCTTTGTGATTTGGGGCTTTGTTTATGGCAAGGATGTACTGTTTGGGCTGTAAATTTCATTGTGTTTTCTATCATGCATTAAATTTAGAATCAGTCTGTGATTTTAAGGTTTCATGGCACACTTGAGGAAATCTGTTTGGTTTTTTTTGATGTAAAATTATTTGAGTATCACTTGCTGTACCGATTGGAATTTGCATTTTGCAATTTTAACTTCTACAGGGGATTTTGAAGATAAAAATGTGTTGTCTAAGAAAATAAATCCCAGAATATTTACTTAAATCTGCTTTTATAGATATTTTATTTAGTATTTTCTTTAAAAAAACATGTATGAAAAAATGTGAAATTATATGCCAACTTTATGGTTGATATTATAGAGCTGTATGCACTATTCCTCTTAGTCAGGTGAGAATTGTCCTTTCAGTTGAAGGCTTTTGTTTCTTGTTCTAAAAATAAAATTAATAAAACTGTGTTCTCATTGATGTAGAAATAATACAATGGTTAGTTGACATTAGCGTTTGAACTTCTTATGTATAAAGTATAACCTTCTATTTGAAATAATGTTGTACAAGAAATAATATTTTTACTGGAGTTATATTTTACTGCTGTTTGTAATCCAGGGAGAACATGGGAGGGACATCACCAATATAAGACCAAAGTAATAACAGCAATCATTTTTGGAATGTAGGTGGGTCTAAATGGCTTTATGGCTTTGTGCACTTTTTTCAACACTTAGATATAATAACTGAGATTTATTCTTTCCTTGCACTCCTGAGATAAACATAATGTTCAGTGGATCAATTTGTACACCAAATTTCATGTACTACACTATATGTGGCTTGATCATATCAGAAAGCCTCATTCAAACCATTAATTGAAAACAGTCATCTGACATTTTTCCACTTCTAGGTCCAGGTTTCATAAACATTGCCAGGCTCATCTTACCCTTCTACCTTATTTCCATTTTGCTAGGGCTAATTCGGTTGGATAGAGCTTTAAGCAGATGCTCTGCTATGCTTTTGATGGAATAGCAAAAAGATATTGGAAACTCTGCTACAATCTTTTGGCAGAGACCTGATAAGAAATTGAAATTTGTTTATAGCATTATATTAGATGACTATGAACAGCTAAATTGAAGGAACTCACTGTATAATTGTATAGATGCTTGACAATGCATCTCAGTAGTTTTAGGGTCTGGACTTTTGAGTGACTTCCATACAGTTTAGTCATATTGATTTGGAGGTGTAAAATTTAGCCATGAGTCTTAATTAAGCCATCCAATAAACTAATGGAAAATTCTTTCTCGGATAGCTTTTCCACCTACATAAAGGATGTATGGGCATGGTTATAGAATCCCAGTTTGTCCAAGTACAAAAACATTTCTTACATGAATTGGGGCTGGAAAATATTCCAAGTAGTAATGCCCAGTAAGCATAGAAAGCTGACTGCTTTTTGTGGAAGAGAAAGTTGCTTAATGTGATGGACAATATGAAAGGATTAGGAGGGGTTAAGGATAACTTTAGATGATGCGACAGGACTAATCACCCAGCTGGAGGTAAATGTCTCTTTTCTAGTGGAAAAAAAAAAGACCAGAAATGGAGATTCTGATTTCCTCCTGTTTCTCCCCATAGTAGGGTGAGGGAGGGGTAAAATATAAGAGGCACTCTTTTACACTAGGCAGTACATTTCATTTCTAGTTTCTCTCTCTTGCCTATCCAGATTTCTCAGTTCCTGCAGCCAATATGAACTGAGTATTATATTTGAATTTCTGTGAGTTGTGTCAAAGATAAGGATGGCCAGCAATTATATCAAAAGGGGAGGGGATAAATGTTGGAGCAGTGATGATTTACGATACCAGATTCATATAAATATAATTAGCTGTCACGGGTCCGACAATGCCCTAACAAAATTAAGAGTCTCAAGCCATCTAGCAATAAAAATCTATTTGTTTATTAGGAGCACCATGTCGGCACTACCTAAGTGAACCCGGCTCTGACTTCACTCACTTCGTGCCTTGCCTCTGGCCCTTTTTCCCCCTTCCCCCAAAGTGTGTCACCAGTCATATTGCCAAAAGAAGCAATTTCACGGGTTGTAGAAGTCATTCCATCCAGCGGTTATGGGTCTCCATGGAGATGGCCTTGAGTTCAGCTGGCAGGCTGTTTTTAGTTTTGACTGAGGAGTAAATTCCTTGATGCAGCTGCGAGGTGTGATTTCCTATCCCCCCGCCTATGGCAATTCGGGAGGAAAGATTCGCTGGTTGACACTAGCACTATAATCTGGTTTGCACATTGTTGATAGTTAGAAGGATTAACTTTAGCAAACTTCATGTCATGTGGAGTTTCCAGATTCTTCTCCCACTTAAGAGGAGTATATGAAACCAGGACTTCCTATGGATCAGTTTTGTTACTTCAAACTATGATGTGGCATATGATTCAGACAAAAATCTTTAAGCCACTCTCCTTAAACTAAAATCCAACGTAAATTCTGAACCATTCATGTTATGAATATTACACTTATAAACCACAATTTTAAATCACCCAAAGATACTATCTCATTCAATCTATGAATGCAGTTTTCTCCTATCTTCATCCACTAAATATGTTTGCCATATGGCTAGTAGTAGCTGGGAATTATTATTATTAATTTAATGCAGTATATTGATATGCTCCCTCTTGAAGCTGTAAGCAGAAGAAAAAACATAGTATTTAAAATAATATTGAATAATAAAGCTGTATCCTATTAATGAAAATGGAGAATTATTCTTTAAAAATATATACCAGAAAGGCATGAGTGAAGAATGGAGTCTTCAGCAGGTATCTAAAATATGTTTGAGTAGCTGCCTCTCAAATTTGGGATGTAAGAGAGAGCTTACAACAGTGGTGTCAAACTCAAGGCCCACAGGCCGGATTTGGCCTGCAGGGTGCTTAGATCTGGCCTGCAGGCCATCCTGGAAACAATGAGGGATCAGCCCACTGTGCCACTGGCAGCTAAACTGGGCTCCCGAGCTCCGTTTCTGGCTGCAAAGGCTTCCTGCAACCCTCTGCCAGCTCGCGCTTGGGCCACCACAGGCACCCATGACATGAGTGACATTGATCAGGTCACACCCACTCTGGCCACACCCACCCATGGCCTCCTGAGGTCAAACACAACCCTGATGCAGCTCTCAATGAAATCGAATTTGACACTACTGGCTTATGAGAATATAGTTGCCTCCATGAGCAGAAAACAGATGGTATTCAACAGTATTTTGTAGATATAGCAGAATTGTTCCAACATATCTGAAGGGTATTAAACTGGAGAAGACACTTAACTCTTACTGTTTAAGATATAATGATAATAATGAGAGCACTGTGTTGATCTTGTGGGAAATTTTGGATTCCTTCTTTCAAGATGCATTTGTTTGTTGACCTTCTTATGCTTGTATCACTTCCAAAGAAAGTTCTTGTATTCAAAGCCAGTCAGGTTTCTTTTCACAGTTCTCCAAAACTCAAAAGAGAATACATTGCATATGTGGGTTTTCTTGAACTAAGGTTGATTAATATATTTTAAACTTGCCATTTCCTTTGCATTTAAAATATATACATGTTAATCAGTTTCTTTTCTTCCCCCTCTCTTCTCTGTTATGTCCTGTTGTGTTTCTTCACGGAACTGAAGGAGCCAACCAAAGGTAAAAGATTTTTATAATATTGTGCAGCACTGGGTGGTGAATCATGTTCAATTCTTTGCCAAAATATTTTCTACTTTCTTTTCAGATGGATTCACTGCTATTGTAAGAGGAAGGGGAAAACATTTGAAACTGTTTTTCCTTTTCTCTCTCTCTCCCTCTCCTTCCCTCCCCCCCTTTTTAAAACAACCCACATAGTACATTGACAGCCAAGTCATGAGTCAGAAGAACAAGTCGGAAAACAGTAGCACATACTAAGGATTGAGGGTTATTGCAGAGGTTATGACAGGGTTAACTACCGGTTTGGGATTTACGAAGTTTGGTGATTTATGATGTGCTTCCCTGCATGCTGCGAGCCTCACGCCTGTAAATCGTCATCAGCACGCTGCGTGCAGAGAAGCAGCCTTTGAAACAGCCCTCTTTTCCTGCTTTTTTAACTGCAGCTGTGCCTCGTTTGGCAGCTGAAGTTGGAAAATCAGGAAATAAAGATCAGGTAAGAGCCTGGATGGGCGGGTGGGCAAAAACATCAGCAGACATAGAACTATTTCTATGTCTGCTGCTCCTATCGGTTCTAAAGAGGTGGACAGAACCGGTAGAAATCCACCCCTGGGTTATTGGTAAAAGAGTGCTAGGGTTTTTTTGTATTTTGGTTTTAGAGTCATTTTCTCATCTTTCTTGCACAGACTCAGATTGCAATTGTTTCCCAGTAGTTTATTTTTATTCTGCAATTGAAGAATAGCAATAGCACTTAGCAATAGCACTTCACAGTGCTTTTACAGCCCTCTCTAAGTGGTTTTACAGAGTCAACCTATTGCCCCCAACAATCTGCGACCTCATTTTACCCAATTCGAAAGGATAGAAGGCTGAATCAACCTTGAGCCTGATGAGATTCAATCTGCCAAATTGCAGGCAGATGGCAGTCAGCAGAAGTAGGCTGCAGTACTGCATTCTAACCACTGCGCCTTAAATATGTTTATGTTCATAATGCATTTCTTGTTTATATCTCTGCAGGTGTTTGCCTATGATCACTGCTTCTGGTCTATGGATGAAACTAACAAAGAAAAATATGCAGGTATCATTGTAATGATGAACAACTCTGGTGGAAGGAAAATTGGCATGGCTCTAGTAATCATTTGTCAAAGGAATTAAAAGTTTTAAAGGTCATCTCCAGAACTTAAGAGAGCTTCCTCCTTGCCAACGCATTTCTAGAAGAAAATAAATAATTTTTAGGACCAGCATCAGATCTCCTTCCCTTCCCCAAAAGACCCTCAATCCTATTTCTGAAGAGCTGTCATTGTGAATTCCCTCTTTTATAAAGAAAAGCAGTTAGAAGACACCAAGTTACTTTTGCATTATTATCATACAAAGGATTTTTTGCATTGTTATCATACAAAAGAGAACAAAAGCAAGGAACAATCCAAACAAAACAGAAGAAGATGTAATCTTTATATATCCACATCCTGGACCTTGCAAAGGACAGATTGGGATCAGATGTTACTGTTAGATTTAGACAGCATGTTAAACCCTAAATTCAAATTAACAAAGCACAGTTGTTGCATGTTAGTAATATCTTATGCCTAAAAATATATTATGGTTTAACTTCATTATCTGTTCCCATAAGATTCTGAATTTCAAATTATTCAGTCTCATTTTAGCTTAATCCTGTGGACTGACATTGAATAAATTAATCACAAAGGCTCAAAAGCAGGGATAGGATGGGTTCAGATGCCTGTTTAATTAATAGAGGTAATCAATTTCTTATCCAAATGAATTGCACAAAATGGTTGTGAATATAAACTGAGTAACCCCTATACATAAGGTTCTTGGGGGAGGAGCTGGGGAGGGGGTTTGGCCTTGAATTCAAATAGCAACAAAAATAATGGCTCTAGTTTCCTTGAGGTCAGAGGGTTTTTTTCCGCAACAGATATGCTTTAGTAGGATTCATCCGGTACTGGTTAAACACAGAGCAATTCCAAAGGAAGTTACTGGATATCTTGGTGTAGTTAAGATGAGTATCTGTTCTGTGCTTTCCATGTGGGTGGCTCCATTGATTTTGGACACACATGAAAAGCATTAAATGTTTTCACACATTAGAAGTGTTTGAAGCTTTTGAGAGTTTTAACAAAGGTATTTTTTTTATTCTTCCTCTCCCTCCCCCCAAACATTTGAATCTTTTTGTTCTAATTTTAGGTCAAGATATTGTTTTCAAGTGCCTTGGTGAGAACATTCTCCAGAATGCCTTTGAAGGTTACAATGCGTGCATTTTTGCCTATGGACAGACCGGTAAGCATTAGCAAGGTGGACATTGAAGGAAAGGATGAAATTTGTTAGTTTTGAACAAATTAGGAACAGTATCAAACAACACGTCAAGGTAAAAGAAATAAGTCATGATTTAATTATTCATATTTCCCTCAATTTCAAATGCTGGTTTTGATTTCTTATGCGTTTTTCACTACAATAACCAGTGGTGGGATTCAAATTTTTTTACTACCAGTTCTGTGGGC